ACTGTCTTTGCTCATAATTCCCAATGATAAGAAAAAGGTTGTATGAACCTTCCCCAAGTCATTGAAAATCTGGAGGCTTTTTGACTGTGATCAGCAAAACTCATTACATAGCAAACTTGTTGCCTTTTTATAAAAGAGCTGTAGAATGCCATGAAGGCAGTGTGATGTAGGAACAATTCCCCATTTTCTGTAAACTGCAGTGTGGTTTACTTAGTTCTGTGTGTCACATAATGCACAACAGTGAATTCTGTACATGCAGTCATAGTGTAGACTCTCCTGCATTTTTGTACTTGTACATGCCATAAGTAAAGGCTTTAACATAGTAGATGAGATGTACATTATTTTGTGACTGATTCTGACACTGCCATTGTCATTGACCCTGGAGGTTCAGACCAACGTGATTCAACAGAAAATGGCAGAACATGCTTTATTATTTCAACTCTAAAGTAACCCCACAAAAACCATAAGAATATTTGCTCTTATACAGCTCTCATCCCTTGGTAGGTGAAGGGGGGAAAAAATCACTGCCTCCTTATTAATGCAGACCAAAATCCATTTTTCTTGGCATTTTTCCAGTTCACTTCCCAATGAACTTCACCCACCAAGCAAGGTCATATAAATGATTGGAAAAACAAGTTTCTTTTCAGCATGAAGAGGAATGAATCATTTGGAAAAATGTGACATCTTCAGCACTATTCCTGCCACTATGCAATATTTCTCTAAATTATGCAATCTATCAATATTGCATTCATAAATGTATTTTGGGGAAAAATGACCTTAAGCAAGTTTCTGCATAACAGCAGCAAGTGGGATTTCACGGGAAAAGTGAAAATCTGGAGGAACAAGAATGCTGGAAGACCATATGCCAGCTATTCTACAGCAGAAGCTTCCAAAAGAAAACAAGGGCCATCTGAAAACACAAACGATGAAAACTCTGAACAGTCAATGATTGAAGTAGCTCTCCTTTTTCTCTCAGCTGCAAAGAAATTTGAATGAAGGCTTCGCAAGAGACAGACAGCAACAGAACAGACAGCAAAGTCTGCTGTGTGACAGCACAGTCACAGGGACGCGTTAACTGACAGGTCTTGTGGCCTCCTTTGAGGTCCTTCCCTACATGATTCATTCCTCCTGCACCTTTAAGCCCCTTCATAGCTAGATATTTACAGATATCACTGCTACCAGCAGTTGTTGAAGTGCTATATGGCTCCTAATACATCATTGTATGTTATCCAGCAACACTTCAGAGTTAAAAAGTCCAACAAAACCCTGTTTATTAACCAGTTCTAACTACTTTGCTCTAACTTTTTTTTATTAGTTTCCTTCAGCCCTTAAAATGTGTTCAATCTGTTAACTAAGCCAACTAGCAAGATTCAGGTTTTGAAGGTAGAGATGCTGTTGTATGAACTGTTGATCATCCTGAGATGTTTTTCCTACACTCATTATTGCAGGAAATGAGGCATATGATCAGCAACATATCTAATGGGTAGTCATGATCTCACACGAGCCAGACAAGAGCGTACAACACCTGGTACAGGAACCTCTCATCTTTTTTTGTTACTGACATCTCATACAGCAGCAAAGCTACACAATAAGTAGTGGTTTTTAAATGATTCAGTTGTTGAACATAGAAAGGCATCTCAATCACTAACATACAAGTCATTTTTTTGTAGAAAAAGGACCTAGTTTCATTGTCTTCAAAATCAAGGGAAAACTTATAGAGGTAACAGCAGTCCAGGACGACGCCTTGAAGGATCCTGATACCCTTTCAATTCCCAATTCATTCATTATGTGATTTGCATAAAATGAAACAAATACAAATTCTGAGAATAATCTTCAATACTGCATCATTTAAATTTAATATCATAAGATAATTGTCTGCTGTTTCTGCCAAAGGAAGCCAAAATTTCCACATTTGTGCATGATACACCAAATATGTTACACCAAACTCTTTGGTTCACTCAGACCTCTGAACCTTGCACCTTGTATCATGGAAATTCCCACTTGCAAATCAACGTCTAAGATGTCCTGTGAAACATAATCTGAGACAGCGCTGGACAACTGGGAAGAAGTCCAGAGGCTTTCTGTTTCCATAAAGTAGGTAGGTAAAAGCCTAGTAGTGATGAGAAAATCTTTTCTTTTCTCTATAACCAAATAACTGAATTCTGATCAGCATAAAACCTGGTTTTGCTTCAAAGCAAGCTGAAAGAGAAAACTGGAGGGAAAATAAAGGCTTCACCATCTTCAACTAGCAAACAAATACTAGACACTGAGAAATCAGCTTTAGTTTTGCATATTACAATTGATTTTAAATGCTCTCAGAAATTTATCTAATGAAATATTCATATATGTCACTATGCATTTCATCCTAAATGCTAGAAAAAAAGAATCATAGCATCATAGAATGGTTTAGGTTGGACTTCTCCATGAGAGTATCTGTCAGTAGTTTAAAATTGCACCATGACTTCCACTAAGTTGCACCTCAACCACAGCACTAAAGGCTTTTTTTCACCCATCAGACCATCAAACTTCAAAAAGAAACTGTTATAAAATGTTACTGAAACTGCATTTTTGTACATTACCATGGTTCTTAACTTACTGAAGAAATATATAAATCCAAACAAAAAACCTGCTGTGCTGTACACAGACTTCTCTTCCATGTAAACAGCTGTATCTGCTGACGAACCACCAAAAGAGGGCTTAGAATGGGTCTAGGGGACATTCAGAGGTTCCTCCCACACCATGATTACACCAGTATTTTCTACATTGCTTGACAGATTTTTGTCTACCTGAGCACTGTCCTCCAAAGATGGCAATGCAACAGCTTATCTAGGTAATGTGTTTCAATACTTTTCATGCCTTACAGTTTGAAAGTTTCTCCTACCTCAACTAAAGCTTCCTTCCTACATTTCACAGGTTTTTTTTTTCTTCTCCTGACCTCACTGGCGATACAGAATAGCTTGTTAACATTTTCTTTGCAGAAACTTCTATGTACTTATTTCCACCCTCAATACGTTCCTCTCAAAATAAAACAATGCTAATTATTTCAGGTTCATGGCTCCTAGCCTTCCAATCATGTTGCTGTATTTCCTTCACCCTAATTGTCAGGTGATCTTTTTTTTTTTTTTAATGCAGTAACCAAAACTGGACATATTTTCACTTTAACCTTCAGAGCATCATGTAGGAGAAGAGGTCATTTTATGCATTTTACGCTGCTGTCAATGCACCTTGGTGTAAGGTCTATTTTTGTTGTAAGTGGTGTGATGCTGTTGATGCACAAATTTTGCAATCTGGTGGAACAGTCAGGTACCCTTCACTGCAGGACTTCCGCCCAGCCAGCCATTCCGTGCTCCTGTGGTAAATCATTTCTAACCAAGGGTGAAACTCACTCTTAGCTGGATGTCCACTGAAGGACACCTTTTCAAAGGCTGGATGTCCAATCTGATCTAAACTAACCTCTACAAAATGCCCCTAAACTCAGTGAAGAGTGACAGTGCATCTCACCCCATGCTAAAATAGATGTATGTGGGACGAACTGCCCTAAAGAGAGGCACTTCTCACAATTTAGCAAGGTAAACTGGACAGTTAAAGTACTGTTTTACAGTTGAAGTTAAATGATGGCTGTCCAGTTTTCAGACAGCTATTCAAAGTAAAACACACCTGACATGCACTGTGTGCTTTCCTCATTAATCTGGGCTCTGTTCCTCAAAAACTAGAGAAAGTGCAGGAAGCATTTTATCACCCAGTATACTTGTGTCTCCCCCCAGCTTACTGCCTAAGACAATTCAGCCTCCTAACCAAAAGCACTGCACAGCTGGTCCCAGGAGACAGCCCTTCCAAAAAGAACCCCCCTTGTTGGAGCCTCTCATTTTGAAGTGAAGTATTAATTATTAACTCTGAATAGAGGATTAAAACCAGTTTTTTCCTGCTTTCTTATTAAAATGACACTGTCTCATATGAGAAAAGTCTTACTAAAAAAAGTCAAAGGAAATGCTTGTTGCAGGAACATGTTTCTCTGCAAATAACTTACGGGGTCAAGTTAAGTTTTAGAAACCAGCACTAAGGTTGGTCCAAACAGTTTGACAACAAATTTAAGAACAAATATTCATACATGTAAGACACACACAACCCTGCTCTTGTAATTTTGACAATAGTAATTTTAATGATGCACAGGGCCTTGGAACTTCAGAGCTGACCTCTAAACCATTGCAAGGAACACGAGGAGAAAACACTGCACGAAGGAAAACCAGACTGGTGGTCTTTGTAGGAGAGTGCTTGTAGGCACAGAAGCCCATTAGCACCTCCCTCACGAGGAAGAAATATTCCTCTACAAGACCTTTATTTGACAACGGGGGGCTCTGGCAGCAATAAGAACCTAAAAAGAAAACTGGTCCTGCTTACACTGAACTCTGGCCAAAAAAAAATTAAAGCTGGATTTGTCTTCCAAGTCAGCTCACAGCACAACACTGCATATTGCTTATCTGGCAACACCACAGGCTGATACTGTCACCCAAGTTCCCCTGTCCTCAAACTTTGTCTTCAATAGTCAGAAGGTCCCAATCCTGACAAAAGATCCACTACGAAAAAACCTTAATTACTCAATTATGCTGTATTATGCAGATCTCATTCACTAACCTTCCATAGAATCTATGGGGTTGGCTTTAGTATGCCTGTTTTTACTGATGTACCTGAAATGCAGAGCAGAAAAATAAAATCTAATGTGGCTAACTTGACACACGTTTATTATTTGCTCTCCAGTGATTTCACTGACAAGAGAAGCCCGATAACTCTTTTTCTAGACTTGATGGGAGAAAAACAATGTTTCTTTGTAGACACACAGCCTGCATAGTTATTTAATTTTTTTCAGATTTTTGATGGTTTTGAACAGGAACAGAAAGAAAGTTACTCCCAGTTAGCGCAGTATGAAAAGAACCTGGCCCAGCCCACCCAAGGTAATATTTGGAAAGTTCAGTTACCTAGAAAGCACATAAAAATAAACTTGCCTTCCATAAAGATCCTGTTCCAGTAGATTTTTCCAACGTGATTTCCTCCAAGAAATATTAGATTTGATAAAATCAACATTGAAGTGCTAACAGATGCTAGGACAGCATGAAGTCGACGACGAATTCTGGGCGAGAAGAAACTCTCCTAAGGGGCAAAACAAAAGGTGCAGATGAAGTTAACAACCCCTACAATTTTTCAAGCAATGTTAGAAAAAGACATTGACAAACAACTTTTATACAGAAGTTCAAATACTTATGGAACGGATCCCAGAGCTTTTAAAACATCTAGCAGAACTCCCACCGATGCCATTTAAGTTTGAGTACGACTTCACAATAAAAACCAGTGTTGAATCATAGTTGAGGTTGGAAGGGGCCTCTGGAGGTTACCTAGGAAGGTCATCAGAGCAGGGTCAGCTAGAGCAGGCTGCTCAGGACTGTGTCCAGTTAGGTTTTGAATATCTTCAACAATGGAGACTGCACAACCTCACTGGGCAACCTGTGCCAGTGTTTGACTGCCCTCACAGTAAAAAAAAGTTTTCTTATGTTTAAATGGAATTTCTTGTATTTCAGTTTGTGCCTGTTGCCTTTTTTCCTGTCACTAAATACCACTGAGAAGAGTCTGGCTTTTGTCTTCTTCCCCTCTACAGTTAGTTATTTATACATATGGATAAGTTCCCCCCTGAACCTTGTCTTCTCTGGGCTGAGGTCCCACCAGCTCTCTTAGCCTCTCCTCTTATAACAGATGCTCCAGTCCCTTTGCCATCTTTGTGGCCCTTTGGTGGACTCACTCTGCATGTCCATGTCTGTCTTCTAGTGAGGAGCCCAGAACTGGACACAGTTCTACACATTCTATGTTTTAATTCTTTTCTTATTAAATGTACTCCTTGATGATTTTTTGCTCATGGACATAAACAGTAGCAACACGCTTCTGTGATGGATAATACTATCCAATAGGTTCCAATATGGACCTCAGTATAAAACAAACCACATCAAACAAGTTCAGAAGTCACTAATGCTTTGGTTGATTAGTAAGACTTCACTGAAAGATTCTAGAATCAGATTAGAACTGGTTACCACAATGAGTCTTAATAAACAGGTACTTCCTATAAAAAAATATTTAAATCCACATACAATCCCCAATATTTTTTTTTCAGTGCAAATATTACTGCTCATGTTCGAGAAGTGTAAAGATCTGTGGTAAAGTTTTTGGTACTTTGATCTAATGATACAAATAAAGTGGGTCTTTCTCCACCATATATTAGTCTACATTTTTCTGAATCCATATTTTGCATTATCACCTGAGGTGTGAGCGCAGCATAGACTGCAAGAAGATGGTGAAAGAAGGATGAGAAAGTTTTAGCTTCCTCCAATATTCAGCTATTAGAACAAATTTTAAAGTGCATTATAGCACATCACATGGAAATACAGTCTCATTACTGTGTAAGAAAATTATCTCGTTCATCATGGCCCCAGGCTGAAAGCCTCTTTACATAGTGCCTGAATCTGCAAAAGACTGAATGCTTTGTGTGAAGTGATGAGATTTGCCAGGGCATGGGAACTAAGGAAAATATGAGGAGCTGCTCAGCCTTCACGTCATAAACGTTGATGTTGCAGAAAACAGTGTCTTGTGACTGCAGCACCAAAAAAAAAAGAGCAGTAATTAGTCTTTAATATCTGCAGCCAGACCAGAATTCATGCTCAGATACCTGAAACAACATAAACACATGCTCAAAGCAGACCTAGAAATTAATTCCTAGCAAATTAAATTTTGTAAGTTTCATAAACATCAAAACAAATGTTTCAACTGCTAGATTATAAAGTGACAAATCTTCAAATAAATCACAGCTATGAGTATAAAAATACAATTTTAACATATTACTGCAAAGTGGATCTCTGGTAAATTGAATGTTAGCCCCAGACACAACTATATCTAGTGTATGAGTCAGTTTGAGTCAGCACAAAAATGGGGATAGATAAGCTGTATCGGGCTGTGTGCGCAATACAGCCATAGTCAATCTTCCATACAAGGCTATGAAAAATATTCACGTATGAAAACAGAGACTGAAATTTTTTTCTGAAAGTTCTGGATGAAAACTAGGGCATCGTAGAAGAGCGGTAGGGAATATATGATAATTATGGTTACTTAGTGAAACTACTTTTTCCCTTTCTAGTACTTTGTTCTAAGTAGACCTGGTAAGTTTGTCAGGTGTGCCTGTTTTACAATCAAAAGCAGTACCACTAAGACAAACACCATGAATAGCTGAAAAAGTTCTGCCACTTTAGAAAAAAAAATTAATACCGTTACTAGAAAATAAATAAAACTGTCACATATAATACATTACCCTCTACGAAAGTGCTATATGTTAAACAATGCAAGTTAACTGTAGTACAGACCATAAAAGCCTTTGGTCATTTATAAGGTATAAGGGAATAGTTTAAGACACAAACAGTTAGACAAACACTGAACCCTTTCTGGGTTTTGCTGTAGCTAATTTCCATTAACTTTGCCAGGCATTGATCCAAAAAGCAGTACGCTTTTTCCTTAGAGTCTTTGATGTCAATGCAGCTTTTACCCAGCTGCAAAGAAGGTAAAAAAAAGAAAACATTCTTTAGACATCTCATGTCATCTAGAAAAAGCTAACTATGAAAGTACCTGAGCAGCTATTGTGCTCAAATTAATACACTGGAAGCATTAATTTACCCGTGAAAAAAGAATGCGGTTAGTCTAGATAATCCATAATAACATTTGTGATTTAAATACCAACCACCATGTGGATTTTTCTGAATATACAGCAAGTTGTTTTCATCCGCAGACAAAATTAAAAAAACCCTCCACACCCACAACTCTTCATTATGCTATTTAACGCTTTTAACAACATGTTCCATTGCAACAATACAAGCAGCTGCTATGGATTTGTGGTGTTTCTCTGGATTTTACTGCTGCCTCTTTCTCTCTCCTCTTTTCCTGTTGGAAACATGGACAAAAGATAAAGTGGCAAAAGAGCACCTAATATTAAAATCACAATGCAGACATGGCTGTCTGGCTGAAACCCTTATATTTACATCCATCCTCAATGCTCCATCTTACTAGTAATCTCACATCAATACTTTGTCATATTTTACTTTTACTAATCACTCTTTGTTTTCTTCCACACACTGTGAAATAAATGGACTGTGGCACTTAAACTACACAAAAACCCCAGACTTATTGTCAAGGCATGTGGCATGACATAGGAGGTGACCTACACAGGCTGGCTCAGGCCATATTTCTTGGAACTGAATGGAGTTTGGGTTATTATAACAATCCAATTCCTGCTGTAAATCAAAATCAGCCTCAGACATTTTTGCCAGATGTTGGGAAAAACCTCTCTCTGCACATTGTTGGGCCTAGCAAAATTGGCTACTGTCAGATCTCTATCAACTGGGCCTTCTCAGTCATCTTACAAAAATAAAAGATACTATCATGTAGTGCAGTATCCTGAAAAGTAAAACTGTATGTTTTTGAGAGGGGTGGAAGAAGACAGGCATGAAAAGAATCATAGAATACCAGGTTGGAAGGGACCTCAAGGATCATCTGGCCCAACCTTTCTTGGCAAGAGCATGGTCTAGACAAGGTGGTCCAGTGCTCTGTCCAGCTGAATCTTAAAAGTATCCAATTTTGGGGAATCCACCACTTCCCTGGGGAGATTATTCCAGGGGCCAGTTTTTCTCATTGTGAAAAATTTTGCCCTTGTGTCGAATCAGATTCTTCCCAGGAGTAACTTGTACCCATTACCCCTCATCTTTTCCATGTGACTCTTTGTAAAAAGGGAGTCTCCAGCTTCTTTATAGCCACCTTTTAAATACTGGAATGTGGTGATGAGGTGTCCCCCAGACCTTCTTTTTTCAAGGCTGATCAAACCCAATTCTCTCAGCCTTTCCTCATATGGAAGGCTTCCCAGTCACCTTTGTGGCCCTTCTCTGCTTTGCAAGGAACTTAGAGCACTATGAGTGAAAAACAAAGAAACATGGCAGAAGTCGCTTCAGGCAGTGGAGCATAATTTAAAAGAACTTCTCTCTAAGGTGAGCTAGAGATAATCAACAACAAATTTGCATTTTCACTGATTTATAGGACTGAGTACAACAATATTACTGAATGGCATGGAGAGATGAAATTGAGGGTCCAGAAGTGTTTTTCCTAAATGCATTACATCTCCTAGGTAGCCAACGACAGAGATAATACTTTGGGGATTACTGACCAGAATAAGTCATCCACCCAAGACTGAATTCCATACAGCAGTTAAAACTAGGCAGTTCTATACAAAATACCATGCTGAAGTCTTCTACTGAAATATATTCCCCAGTATTCTATCAGGGACCCAACACTACATATTCCTACAGCAATCATTCTTAAACTTTTTCTAGCAATAGTGGTGGCCCCATGGTGACTTGGCACGTCCCAAATGCTCTCTATTCAGAGGGCTACTGAATCCATTTGCAGTAGCTTGTTCTGGGAACAGGTCACATACATCATGGTGTTTTAGGGAGGGCTTGGGAACTGTCTTCCACCACACCGCAAACCCAGCCTCATGACAGGGTGACATGTGGGAAAAAGCCTCCCCTGACAGACATCAGCTGCTGGTAACTTCTTGGCACGTGCTGAGAAGATGGAAATTATCTATGTCTGCTGCATTTGTAATGCATCTCATTTATATAGCTGTTCTGGGGCAGATTAAAGAAAAGTTCTGTATACGTCAGTGAAGTTATCAAGCTTGCTCATACTAAAAATACTTCAACAAGTGCCATGTAAGGAAATTAAATTTGCTGCAATTTCAACAGGAGTCTATCTTCATGGAGAAAAACAGAGATTCACAACATTTATTTCTTTTTTAACCACCCTTCCAGAGACTTGATAATCCAAGCACATGGTAAAATAAGAGCGTATGGTAAAATTGGAGAAGCAGTTGAATATTTTTTATGGGAACATATGCACTGTGGAATAAGACTGTCAAATACTATGGCCAGAGTGACATGAAACATGTGCTTACTACTACAAACTGCAACATTACAGATTACATTATTCTATTTTCATCTGCCTTTCGATTTTAAAGGGTCAAAATAATCTAGAACAATTTTTAGAAGAGTTGCCTTTTTTAAATGTGTAAT